GCGTGCATTGAGCACAGCACACAGCTGGGAGTTGTTGTCACTCCTGAACAAGGAAACCATCTTTTGGAAACTCTGCAGCTGAGTACATGGAGGTTTTTTTTTCCCCTAGAAGAAACTAGTGGTGCAGTGAACACCAAAAAACACTTATTTTGTCCCTCTGTCTTCAGGTGGAAGAGAATAAATCTATCACACCTACTAAACTCCTGGTGAAACACCTACCAGGTGCTCTTGTGAAATGCCTACAATTGTTGGCACTGCAGATAATCTTTTCTTAGTTAGCAGATGATTATTTTCCACATCAGTGGGCAATGATAAAAGTAGATGACACTGGGTTTTCTTCCTCTTTAGATGAGGTTTTGATGGATAATAAATCATTTTACAACACTGGCTTTTTATTTCCTTGTATTTACACATGGAAAGCAAAATGCAACCAGGTTGTATGATACCATTCTCAAATCACCAACTGATATTCAAGGAACTAAACTGATAAAGGTTTCATTTTCCAGCCTGTACCTCTTACAGCTTGTGCTTAGATGATCTTAAATCCCATGTGAGCACCTTGTGGGATTTTTAATTGCTTTTTGACAATAGGTAAAAATCCTCTAAAATATCAAGCTGGACATGCCTGTCAAGGGGTGGTCACTCATGTCCTTCCATGTGTATGTGAAATCCATTGGGACAAATTCAGCAGATAGAATAAATCAGGGTGAACCAACTTGCTGTCAACAGACAAGTTCAGCTGTGTTTCAAGTGTGTGCTGTTAAACAGGAGACAAAAATTAACTCTTTTACATCATCTTTTTGCTCATAGAGTAAGCCAACACGAGTTTTAAGGCAGTGATGGTCAAGACTGAATTTAAAATAGACATCTTGTAAATGGATTGTCTCTCATTTTCCTCTCTGCATCTCCCATGTTATTTCCCTCACTGTGCACTTCCCCATTACATTTCATCATTGAAAATGGATGAAGAGTTTTTTAGGCCACCCTGAAATTTTAGCCTGTAACCAAGTCTTTGAAAATCCTGTTATGTACTTTCTACCTTAGACATTATCCCATAGCACCATGCTATTTTTTTTTTTTTTCTGGATGGAAGTAATAAGCTACTTCCTTGTCAGTACACTAAGCATATGATTCGGAGGCCACAGAGCAAGCTGACATATGAAATTATTAAATGTAAAAATTGAACAGGTTGGTATTTTTTTTATCTAGGTATCCTGATTAGATCCATACACAAAACTCTCTCTAGCCAACAGCTTCAAACCCCTAACCTCCCCAAAGGCTTGCACAGGATTCAGTGACAGCTTTCATTAAAGTCAATGGGAAGTGTTTGGTATACAGCCTCACTGAAATCAGAGGACTCTCCCTGTGGTATATAAGTTGATTTATAAATCCTAAAAAGCTTGAACTTTTAGAGAAAGGTGGTCATGCTTTTATCCCAATTATGTAATAGAGTCAAACTACTATCGGAGCTCTTGGGAATAAAAACCTGTTTGGGTTGAAATTACTGAGGCTTCTATTTCTAGAGTTCTCAAATTCTTCCCTCCTCCTGTTTGACCCACCAGCTCTCCTGTTCTCATTTCTGGCCCAGTCTTCAGAAGCACAAAGTGTTTCCATGAAAGACACAGATTTTTCCAGAACTTCTAATGGCTCAAGAAATCCCAATTTCTTCTAAAAGTTTTACTTTTGCAGCTGAAAACTTTCTCCCTGTCTCAAAATCATCTTCTCCTAGGGAAGACTCTGAAAAGCCTATGATTAAATGCACTTTGCTGCCTAGTCAGGACTAGTGCTGTTCACAAATAACACTGGTTGTAGGAGTGAGACAAAATCTGTGGTTCACCAAAAAGTTAGGCTGCAGTCAATTCCTTAGAAGCAATGAACTCAGATGTTAACAAACATTTCCAAAGGTCATTAAGGCACTACAATAATTGCTTTGAAGGTGAAGACTCAAGATTATTTCTTTTTAAATGGCTGTTTTTTTACCTTTTACCTTTTTTTTATCTTTTAGAACCTACCTGTATCTCTGTACCTTCTTGTCTTCAACTGGGAACTTTCTATTCCCACTTTGACTGAGGCATAGATCTGCACGTACAGTCAACCCCCTTCCCACACCTTCTGTTATTTAATGTACTATCTGAAGTATTGCTATACGCTTTTGATAGGCAACACATTGATTTGTACCATTTTTTCTGCTGTGTTACATGAAAATCTGATTATCTGCAGCTATCTGTCCCATTATGATAGAGCCCTGGAGTATGATGAGACTTTAAATTTTTGTAGTGTAAGCTACCTATGGATTAGCTCTTGAATTTACAGTCCTACCTTGGATATGACTCAACTAGAAGAACGAGTTGTCTTGAATTACAGAATGCCTTTTTTATAGATCCCAAGCCAAGCACTGGGCTCTGGTACACTTAGGGACTCTGTTGACATTAATGTGGTCATACCCACGTTGCAGATGGCAGCACCAAATAGAATTGAAATCAAAGGAAACGGAGAGAGGGCAAAATCAGAGCAGTCAGAAACATCAAATTACTTCTCCCTGCCCATTCACAGCTTTTTTTCTTGAGCCCAGTGCAGTCAATGGGAGTTTTGCCAATTAATTTCAATAGGAGGACAATCTGGGTTGGATTGAGGTTTCCTGCTTCTGCCCACAGTAACACAGATGCATTCCAGACCACTCTCAGAGGAAAAAAAAAAAGAAAAAAAGAAAAAGTAAAAAACAAAGAGGCAAATTTCCAGTCACTGTGGCAACAGGAGGGACGGTTCTTTTTGGTATCATGTAATTTTGAAATTCAGTAGCTGTTTTGTGTCATGACATGTGTTTCTCTCCTCTGTCAAATTAATGT